GACAAATCAGTTTCAATATCAGATTTCAACTCTACGTTAGAGGATATTCGATATGGACAAAATTTGTGTCTTGAAATCTTTGCTCTATTTTCGTTACACGATAATGAGCAAAGAGGGGCAGCTGAAGACACCAGATTTTGTCCTGCCAACCGAGGAGTCTTCACGTAACCAACAAATAAGAGTTGGATTAGGACTCAAATACTAGTCTAAAATAGGGTTTTTTAGTACTATAAATAAGCCTTGTAATTACCACACCAGAACACACACGATTTACACAAAAGGAACGCCAGAAAAATACGAGCAAAGAAAAAGTGATTTCGAGGCTATTGTAAACGATTCAAGTAATAAAGGTGAAAGCTTTTTACCTTTCGTTTGTTTCTCTTTACTCTTCACTTGCATGCGTTGTTAATCGTGTTTTCTTTGCTTGAGAATCCCAAAGACAAATGTTTTAGCCGATGACTCGGAAGGGAGTTTTTCGAAACTTTGATTTCAGATCTACGCTCCCTAGAGGCTATTTCGCAAAAACAAATTACATTTTTGGAATGAAGGTGCGAAAATCTATTAAAAAAATGAAAACTTTTTTATTTTTGCCGGTTTTAATCTTCAATGTTCTTTGACATTTGCCCACTGATTTAGCTTTTATTTCAATTTAATCCCCTACTAATATCATATATATTTACTTATATTTCCATTATTATTATTTTTTATTTCATTTATACTTTATTTATTACTATTATTATTATTTTTATTTTAGTACTTATTATTACTATTATTTTTTATACCTTGTTTATAAGTTATTATATATATATATATATTCATATAACTAGCATTATTACTATTTATTTTTGCTATTAACGTATATATTTATATTTTTATAATTATCATTATAATTGTTATTACTATTTTACTTTTAACTTACATTTTTTTATTTATTTTTCTTTATTTTATGTGATTGTATGTTTTTCATTTATTTTCTATTTTCTTTGTATTTTTTCTCATTATTTTATTGTTGTTTTATTGTATTAGATTCATTACTTCATTCTTTTTTTTCTTGTTTATTTTTACTTTTACTTCTTTTATTTTCTTATTTTTTTATCTCATTTTGTTTATTTGTGTTATTTACGTGTTTTCTTTGTTTTATTTATTTACTTTCATTGTCTTTTTCATCTAACGTGTTTCTCGCCTTTTTTTAAAAGGGATATTTTCAAATCGAATTAGGGTAAGTAATTTTGAATAGTAATTTTACCTTTTGAGTTAAACTTTCAATTTTCTTACTTAATGACAACTTGAAATTACGTAGTACCGAAAGGGCAGTTCAAGGGTGCTAACCCTTCCTTGACTGTAACCGACTCCCGAATCTGACATATCTCTGGTAAGACACAGATCATATAAGAAATAAGGTATCCGATCAACCCACTTTTCGTAAAGTAAATGATCGGTGGCAACTCCCAATTCATTTAATCCACGTCGAAGCCCAATTCCGGGGCCCAACCGAAAGACGGTTACGACAAACTCCTTTCTGCTGTGAAAAACCCTTGCTACCAAACGAGCCTTGAACTTCTCCCCCTCTTTTTCTGTTACTGCTGGTTTCTTCTTATACACCCATTTGCAACCAATTGACTTCTTAGCCTCAGGAAGGCGAACTAACTCCCATGTATGATTGTGATGCAAAGACTCAATCTCCTCAACCATGACAACCATCCGCTTGTCGTTTTCCTGACTACTAACAATATCATGAAAAGTAACTGGATCATCACTGCTAACAGTAAGTGCAGAAAAGACCAAGTCTTCAAAGCCCAATCTGTTCAGAGGCTTTATATTCGTCCGTCTCACCCTGTCTCTGGCGAGACTATAATCATGCAAATCAACCGTAGCGGAACCACCAGAAATCGTTTGAGAAGTTTCTATTTTCTCATCTGGAAACTGCTCGAAATCCACCATTGTCGTGTCTTTCTTCTGCTGCAATATGGAATGTTCATCAAAAACAACATCTCTACTGATCACAATTTTCTTCGCAACTGGATGTCAGAACTTGAATCCTTTGAAACCTGTCTTATAACTCATAAAATACACTCCTTCGATTTTGGATCTCTCATCAGCAGGTACATGCACATAAGCAGGACAACCAAAAATCCGTAAGTGATCAATAGTAATATCATGACCAGTCCATACCTCTTCTACAACTTTCCCAACCAATGATGCCCTTGGCGATCTATTGATAAGATAACACACCATGTTAACAGCCTCAGCCCATAAGTGTTTGGGAAGCCCCGCATTCAACCGCAAACATCTGGCTCTTTCATTCAATGACATGTTCATCCGTTCCGTGACACCATTCTGTTGTGGTGTATTGTGCACTGTAAAATGCCTCTTAATCCCATACTCCTTACAGAAGTTTAGAAACTGTGAATATGTGTACTCCGTACCATTGTCAGACGGCAAACACTTGATTTTTCGTCTTGTTTGGTTTTCTACCTCAACTTTCCACAGTTTGAACTTCTAAAAAACGTCATACTTCTGTTTCAAAAAATACACCCAAACTTTCCGTGAAAAATCATCAATAAAAGTAACATAACACCTAGATCCACCCAAAGACGATGTCGTGGAAGGCCCCCATACATCAGAATGCACATAATCAAGAATCCCTTCAGTTGTGTGCTTCCCAGTCTTGAAACAGACTTTAGTCTGTTTACCAAGAACACAATACTTGCAAAAATCAAGCTTACAACTTTTAACACCATGCAAAAGATTTTTTTATGTAATTCAGCCATACCACGTTCACTAAGATGAGTAAGACGCATATGCCACAGTTTGGTAGTATCATCACATGACTCAACAGAATGAACTTCACCTACAACGATACTCCCTAACAATCAGTAAATATTCCCTGCAATCATCTTTCCTTTCATCACAGTCAAAGATCCTTTAACAATCCGAATGGTTTCCCTATCCTCATCAGTCTTAGGGATAAAACCATTCTTGTGAAAAGTTCTCAAAGAAATCAAATTCTTCTTCAAATCTGGGATATGTCGAACACCACACAACGTCCGAACATAACCATCATACATCTTAATTCTAACATCACCAATACCAACAATATTGCAACATCGATCATCACCCAAATGGACACAACCAGAATTAATTAACCTGTATGTCGAGAACCATTCCCTATTTGGCGTGATGTGATAAGAACATCCAGAATCAAGAATCCAAGCATCCGTCAATTGAGTCGTTAAAATAGAGAGCATATCACCCTCACTGCAATCAGAATTGTCATCCTCGACCACATTCACATACTTGGATAAGTCATCACGCTTCTCATCAATCTGTTTTTTCAACTTAGGACGGTCTCGCTTCATATGTCCCGCCTCCTTGTACTTGTAACAATGAATTGTCTTCTTATCCCTAGATTTAGATTTGAAATTCTGCTTCCCAGACCCTGCCTTCTCTGTCTTCCGTCCACGGTCTCGATTACCCTTAATATATATAAGCTATCAGCTTGAGAGTTTTCCCCTATATTCTGCTTTTGCTGGTTGTGAGCCAACAAGGCTGCAGTAATCTCCTCAACTTTAATAGTCTCTTTCCCATATGTAAGAGTAGTCACCATGTGTTCATAAGAGGGAGGCAACTAACACAACAGAATCATCGCTTTGTCTTCATCCTCAATTTTCACATCAAGCCTAGCCAAATCAGAAACGATTTGATTGAAGTCATTCACGTGTTGCGCCAAATCATGATCATCCTGCATCTTCAGCCCATACAGCCGCTACTTTAGATACAGTTTAGTCGTTAAGGATTTGGACATAAACTGACTTTCCAACTTTTTCCAAATTTCATCTGGAGATGACAAATACATGACGTAATACATGACCTCGTCCGCCAAACATAATCGTATGGTTCCTGCCGCTCGCTGCTGTAATTCTTCCCAATCTTCCTCCTCCATCGACGTCGACTTTGTAGGTCGCAAAGCCTTCAGGATCCCTTGCTGAGCCAACAGATCCTTCACCCTTGTTTGCCATAATCCGAAGTTGCCCTGACCATCGAATTTCGCAACTTCGAATTTGGCTCTTGACATCTGATACCAATTGTTGAATAATCGGGTAAAGAAAACAGAAAGAACACAAGAATTTTAACGATGTGCTTACGTCCTTGGTGCCTTAGGCGGCGCTAGTTTTTCATTCAATGTCACATAGGTTTAGTTTACATCTCCTTTTATAATAAATAAACTCTGGTACATATTTATAAAAATAACCCTGTACCATACCGCGGGACTGCGCCCTACACCCCCAACGCACATAATCGTAACTCCTATTACGAGACTTTACCGGTATATTTATAATACAAACCTAACAGTAAGAAAATTAGACAGGAAAAAGTTTTGACTGTGATTATAGTAAGACTTTTTAGCGACTTTTGAAATGGTCAACCAATAATAGAATCGCAGAAGGTTTTCTTTTAATCGAATTTTCAGTTTACTTTTCGTTTTAAGTTTGGCTTTTGTAGAATACAGGAGCTCTGCATAGCTAACTCTGGATATTGGTGATGCTTGTTTTATTTTCTAAATTTGAAGCTGAACTTGAAGGATAGTTTGTTTTTGGAGAACATAGTGTTTTAATTGATCGAAATTTGGAGAATTTAGGGGTTTGAATTGTGGTTTTTAGCTGCATACATTGAAATAGCTGACATCTTTAACTGGGTTTTGTACAAGGATAAAAGGGTTTTCTTTTATTGATCTGGGTTTGTGATTTTGAGTTTTAATATTTGAAGACTTGGGAAATCGAGAATCTCGAAATAGAGCCTCTTGGAAAGTTATAGATCCTGGTTAGTAAGGTAATAACAATCTTCGGTTGAAAACGGTATAAGGGCAGTCAAAGGTTTGTTCTTTCGATTGATATTGATTGTCAGAGTGAGGATGTTCGCTTCTACGGTCTGAGAGTTCGATTTATGGGGCAACTGTTGCCGTTAGTTTGACATTTGATTTCTGGGAAGGGTGTTTGAGATTACATATACTGGGATTTTGGTATGGATGAGAATCAGGCCAGCTCAAGTTCACTCCCTCCTTTCATTGCAAAGACATATGAGATGGTGGATGATCCTTCTACGGATTCTATCGTGTCGTGGAGTGCAAGTGAGAGAAGTTTCATTGTATGGAATCCGCTCGAGTTTGCAAGGGATTTACTTCCCAGATTCTTCAAGCACAATAACTTTTCTAGCTTTATCAGACAGCTTAATACATATGTGAGATGCTTGTTCTTTTTGTTACCCCACATTTATCACTCGAATACGCATTTGTTTCTTACAGCTTGAATCAAGTTTTTTCCGTATTTTGGCAGGGTTTCAGGAAAACTGATCCCGAGCAGTGGGAATTTGCAAACGAGGATTTTATAAGAGCTCGGCCCCATCTTCTGAAAAACATACACAGACGCAAACCGGTTCATAGCCATTCCATGCAGAATCATGTAGGTCAAGGAGCTTCGTTAGCAGATGCAGAGAGACAGAATCTAAGGGACGGGATTGAGAGACTTAAGAATGAAAAAGAGTCACTTGCGTTAGAGTTACAGAGGCATGAACAGGCGCGACAACAATTTCAGATGAAAATGCAGCTTTTGAGGGATCGTTTACAAAGTATGGAACAGCGGCAGCAAATAATGATGTCTTCTGTGGCTCGAGTCTTGCAGAGACCAGGACTTGCCATAAACCAGACATCACAATTGGAGACTAATGACAGAAAGAGAAGGTTGCCAAGAATTGCTTACTTCTACGATGAAGCTGGGATGGAAGATACTCAGACAGGCACATCTTTGTCCAACATGGAGCCATTTGGACAGTTAGAGTCATCAATGGTGTTTTGGGAGAACGTGGTACGGGATTTTGGTCAAACTAACGTTCAACGTAATTCAAACCTTGATCTGGATGAATCAACTAGTTGTGAAGAAACTCCATCAATATCTTGCACACAGGTTAGTGTCGATGCTCGACCTAAATCCCCTGGGATCGACATGAACTCTGAGCCTGTCCCTGTTGTTACTTCTGAGCCTATTACAGCAAAGGAACAAGCTGCAGTAACTACCGAGCCTGCAAAAGCTGGGGTTAATGATGTATTTTGGGAACAATTTTTGACTGAAAATCTAGGTTGGACTGATACTCAGGAAGTTCAGTCAGAAAGAAAAGATGCCGATGCTAGAAAGAATGAAAGCAACCCTAGTGATCACAGCAGATTTTGGTGGAATATGAAGAATGTAAATAACCTTGCAGAACAGATGGGGCATCTGACTCCTGCAGAGAGAACTTGATATTGGTTGATTATTTTCATAGATGTATAAATCTAGGTATGATTGGTTTGATGTTGAATTAGATAACATATGTTTGAGTTATCATCTCAAGCATGTCATTAACATTCTCAGGTTCATTTGTTTTTAGGTGATATACAGCTATAGTGATTTACATGGCTTCTTCTTGTCTGCTTCAATATAGTTCAGACTCAATTTTAGAATCAACACTAAATTTAGTGAATTTGCAAAGTTGTCTTGTTACAATATTCCATGGCATCTTGATGAGTATCTTGTTGCCTGCATCATGGCATATATCAGTGCAATGATGCTTGATGACATGTATCATAACTGTTGATTCTAAACAAAATGCAAGTCTTTTAAGGTATTATTTGATCATTGTGACCAAATTACACTGAGAGTAATATATAAGATCAAGCTAATTAAACAGTACACTTTCTATAAACTTGTCTTCTTCAATATCTGAAACTTAATGAAAGAATCTGTGAAATTTATTTGCTTACAAAAATGGGAACTAATATGAGTGATTACAATACCGAAATCGACAGAGGGACCAACACATGACCCGGTAAACTCGAATTGTTCATGCTTGAGTTGCCTGCAAATGCATATCTGACACTCAATCCTCCGAAATGTAAAGATGCATACTCACACCTCTGGAACACTCTAGCAAGTGATGCGGCCTTTCTTCTTGCTCGCTTTGTACCGGTAAACAATAGCGCCTGAAGTAAACCAGCCAATGCTGGGGCTTTGAGCACTCTTTTAGTTGTGGCGGCCCCACCGGTGCGGCAAAACTCTAGTAATGCTGCAACAGCGTTCTCTTTTCCTCTTGGTGTTCCACATCGCATCATTGCTATTAACCCTGCCACTGCCATTTCTTCCTTCCCCACCGCTTCGGCTCCGATTGGCTGCCTGACAATGAAGGCCAATGCACCTGCTGCTTCCTCCGCCACCCCTTCATTTTCTAAAGCTCCGACGAGTGCAGTAATTGCTCCAGCCTCTATCATGCTCTCACAATTGTCCGAGCGAGTCGCCAGATTAAATAAAGCGGTCACTGCATCCTTCTTCCCTCTGGGTGTCCCCACTCTCAACAATTCTGCTAAGGCTTCAACTGCTCCTCCCTAATCCGCTATCCTCTTCTTATAGTTGTGAACTACGGAGAGGCTGAACAACGTCGCTGCAGCATTTTGCCTGGCCTCTGTTGTGAGCCCAAGCCTCAAGATTTCAACAATCGTTCCTAGACAACCGTCCTCGTCCATAATTTGAGTTTTGTTCTTCTCATGAATGGACAAGTTCAGCAATGCAGTTACAGAATTCTCGAGCAATGGGATTCGAGGACAACAGCAACTTTTGTAAGTGTGGTATAGCCCCAACCTCTGCAATAAAAACGTGGTTCTCCTTTCTTGTTTTAGCCAGCAAGCGAATTTCACAGCAGCTACAGTCTGAACTCCCTGAGATCCATTTGCTAGTTGTTGAACAAGAAGTATTGCTGTTGCTCTATTGGCTTCAGTTGCTGCTTTGATCGGCAAACCTGCAGCAAAAGACTCGGCAGATGCATCTGTGGTTTCCAGAGGATCGTACAGAACACCATGAGCATTACACCACTGCATGATCAAATTCCTCAAAGCCCGATTAGGAACAAGGCGATTATGGACAAGCATTTGCCCCATCTTCAGACTAGTACAATGCCCTTCAGCCATCCACCGAGCTATCGAACTCCGATCATAAGTCTGCCCTGTCAAAATTATCACAGGGTCTCTCATCAAGTCCAATGATATAGGGCAACAAAAGTCTTTCGGAACAGTCTAAAACGTATCGACTATCTCCCGAGTAATCAACCCTTTTCTCGGTTTCTTCCTATTCCCAAAAGAGAGCCGCAACTCATCTTCCTCGAAACCAAATAGCAAAAACCTACAATATCGGGTTATTGCAACAAATCCATTAAGCACAGCAGCCGTAGGTTCGATATCTCCTTCGCGATTAACAATCTGCTCCTCCAAAAACTCGATTTCGGACTTGCAACTTGTGGCATCTTTAATCCCCAATCTCTCCACAAAGAGCAACCTCAACTCGACATGATTCGGTATCCTCCCGTGCTCAAACTCATCAAGAAATGAAAAGAATCTAAGCCTTAAATTCTCATCACTTTTATCAACATTCAATTTTGCTTTCCTTGCCTGTTTCTGCAACAGCTCAACTCGCTCCCTAACATCATCACTCAAATTAAATTCTTTTATTGGAAAAAATCCAAAAGGGTCGAAATTTCTTGGTTCAAATCATGGAAATGGCCTGAAACCGAGTGGTTTTGAATCCAAAGCCATAACTTACAGGATTGAGAGCAATAATCAAGCAGTATCTTGGACCTATATAGCAACAAATAGAGCTCCTTGAAGCACAATACGGCTGTAGAAGGCAGGTTCGACATGGACCCTGAAGCTGAATCCCTCAAATACTCCAAAAGGAGAACAAAAACTTCAACTTTTCGAATCAAATATCGATAATTTCTTCGTTGGAAGAAGAAAACATTATTGGAAAAGCAAGAAACAAGCTCGGAGGAGAGATTTGCAAGGGTTAGAACGAGGGATACTCCAGTTAAGTCAACGGGGGCCAAAAAAGCCTCTAGAGACGGCGACCTTCGCCTTCTTAGAGAAGAGAAAATAGCTGCTGATGCCATTGTCGATAACCCCAAAACTGAATTTCACAGCCTCAGATCTGCAACAAACAAACGAAATGGAAAAAATAAACTGTACCCAAGAATCTCAGCCTTATGATATAGTCCTTGGATCGTTGGCTAAAATTTGAAAGGATGCTTGACAACAAAGATTTTTTTTTAACACACACACACACAAAGATAGCTTTTTTATTCAAGTGAGAAGGGAAGATAAAAATGGGGATTCTTTTCCAAGAGTGGAATCCGCGTTTAGCAAAAAAGAAAAGAAAGGATGATCATCGATATTTATACAGACTTTTTTTCATACCAAACAGTAAGAGATAGAAATGGATACAGCTTTCATTAACTCTATCCTTTTCTGGTTTGTTTATAAAACGATATTTGGTTAAACTGCAAAGGACAACCCCCTTTTTTAGGGATTTTAAGAGTGGAGATGTTACTTTATATGGTCCGTATATGAGATATGGATTCGGATTTGATGAATTTTAACCCGATTTAATTATATTAAATTTAAGTTGAAGATAAAAAAAATCATTTGATCCGATTTAATTCTAAACTTAATTTGTTTTTATAATGAGAGATGCCCAGGGATTAAAATTGAAAAACTAATAAATTTAGGGATTAAAATTTTATTTTACCGATTCCACAATTGATTAGTTGACCTGGAGAAAATGTCTTAAAATCTGACAAAACCTGTGTTTGGACTTTGGATAGTTGACACGGCTGGCTCAATCCTCTTGTCGGCTGAATCACATGCCTCCACGTCACACCGTTCCCGTGGATCACACGTTGGAAGGACACGTGTCTCCTTCGCCTTCCGTCAATTAAGACACGTGTATTGATCGTGGCCAACCCATCTAAATTTTTGTAAATTGATCATAATTAAAATTTCGGTTATAGTATAAAAATATCAAATTATGAATTTAGTCCTTATGATTCCATCATCATCATATTATATAAAATTTAGATAGCACTTTCAAATCTTATAATTAAATCACAAATAAAAAAAATAGTTCAACCATCTATATAAAAAGAAAAATATAATTATTTGGAACAAAATATCTCAATAAGAGCCCCCATATCGTCACATGATTTGATAAACAATGAGACATTTCGAATCTAATGTAGACAGAAACTTGCTTTATTGTTAAACTATTGTTAGTGTGTAACGTTTTTCATTAAAACAATATGTACCGATTATAATCGACACTACTTTTATATTGCTTATAAAAATATTATATTATTTAGTTGTGTGTGAACTATGAACTTGAAGGATGGAAAAGTCGCTCAATGCAAGGTTTTGTTTGGTTAGGTGAAAAAATAATTTCGAGCTTTTTTATACCGAATCAAACAATTTTTCAAGGGACTAAATAGAAATTACACAATTTTTATTAATGGTGCCAAACCTTAACAACTTCTCCTTCATGCTAGTTGCAGAGTTTGAAGATTAAAGTGTGCTGCTTTCTATAAAACCAAGATCACCCTTTGGATGTCAAGAACACAACTCGGAGAGTCCAGGTTCGAACATTGCCATGACCGACTTCGGTCCAGGTTTATTCCGGTAAGTTGTCGAGATGTATTCGGGATCGGCTCCGGGATGAAAGTGGAAGAAAGCCTAATAGCAGTAATGATTGAATAAACTGAAAGAGTGGCTTTGCACTAATCTAGTTGCCTGCCTACATGTTTCTCAGTGGAAAGAACTTGTCATTTATTCAAAGGAAAAAGAATTTGACACATTTGAACTTACCCTGTGATCCGGCAAGAAATTAGCTAATTACAACTGTAACTATGAATTCAACCAACTCATGCACCAAATCTTCAAAGCCATCCTAAATGTTCGTCCGTCGTACCTACCTAGCAGACTTAGACGAACGACATTGTCCGCATGAGATGAGCATCAATAACGAATGCGGTCTTTTTGTCCGAATTTTCAAGCGGGAGAGCTGTGGGACGTAAGCAGACTAATGATCACACACTTTTCATTGGTATAATGCTGGTTTTAGTAAGTTAAACAATAGGTAAATTACCTTCCGACGAGTTGCTCTTGTTGCTTTCCAGCAAAGCAAGCTTTTCGACCTAGGTTCCAGTCTCCTGAAATGTACAGATACGAAGTTAATTCTTATTTCTTAGTTGAAGATAATAAAACGACGGATTCGTGCTTATCGATGCATCTCTAACACCAAAAATGAAAGCTGAGAAATCATAATGGCACTGGATGTACACATACAGGTTCTCCTGTTCGAGTTTTTCGGCAATGGAAACTGCTTTGCGCCTTGACCACCCATTTCGTTTTGTGCATCCTTCTGCCTGTTGAATTAAATGTGCGAGGGACACCTTACCCCTAACAATGCTCCGACTATGACTTAGTTC